GGCTGAAAAGCACAGGTGTGGGTTCAATTCCAGATTTGAAGGGCAGCTAGGGGCCATAGTCTCAGGGGTTCCACCAGGCTCTATCAGACCAGCAAACCTGGTCCCCCCTTTTTTTTTCCAAATGCTTTTGAGTTTTGTTCCACATTGTTTGTCCCTTTCTATCCAGAATCTCCTACGTAGACCCCCCTCTGAGTGGTTGTCATTGGTAGCAGGGCATCATCTAGTTCTTCTGGTCTCATAGTTGTATAGGCTGCGGATCGCATGGTGAACCAGTCACTAGGACTAATTCTTTCCATGAATCTGGTTTTCTTCATTCTTCTTTGCTTTGCACAAGGAGAGACCCATCATTGCATCTAGATGGCTGCTTGCAAACTTTTAAGATCCCAGTCGCTATTTGCCAAAGTAGGAGATGGAACAATATTTTATGTAGTATGTTATGCCAATTTAACTCGATGTCCCCTGTGACGATAGTCCTAAGCCCACAGGTTCAACTGCAGTTCTGGGTAGCTGGCTGTAACCAAGAAGTGACTACAACCTTGTCCCTTGTCAGCTCTACTATACACCTGGGAATTCAGATCATACAAATGCAATTATAGGACCATTGTCTGCCAACCCTATACATGGTCTTGGGCATACTCCCCACTTCCTAGGCATACCTAATAGTTTAGTCTGTCCACCCATCTATCCCTCCATATACCCATGTTTGCCTTCACTGGCAAGTGTAGTACTGTATGTGCAAAAGGGATCATCTTTGTTGTCTGCATCTCCCATATACCTCTCTATGTCTTCCTCTTCCTCAGTGCCACCATGTTGATCACTCACATTTGGTACATTGCCCTTCTTTTCACCCAAATCAATGCTTATCTCTACCTGTCTAACAATGTTCCCTCCCCTCCCCTTCCACCCTGGTAACCAACAAAGAAAATTTCCTTCCATAGATAAACCTTGCCTTGATTTTTACAGTAACGGACTAATACAATATTGTCCTTCTGTGATTGACTTATTTAATTCAGCATAATGTCCTCCAAGTTCATCCACATCATATAGTGTTTTTCAGATTCTAAGTTATTCTTTAGGGTTGCAAGTTTGGTTATCGATTCCTCAGTTGATGGACACCTAGGTTGTTTCTATCTTTTGGCTATTGTAAATAGTGACGCTGGTTTTTTTTTTTAAACTTTTAAGTATGTCAGGATTTTACTTCTTTTGTAGACTTTGCACTAGGTATTACTTCTGATCAGAAGAAAACTTTTTAACCATAGGAATTCAATAATTCTTAGAATTCAGGTGTCACTTCAAATGCCACGTCCTAAGAGAGTACCCTTCCTGACCCCTCAGATATTCCTACTCATTTCTTTGTTTAAATACCATTACAGTTTCCAGAATGAAGTAATTGCAATTTTGGTTAACATTAACCATCATATAATATCAGCAGATTGGTTGTTTCTCAGGATCTGGGATAATTTACTCCTACATCTGTTGTCTTGTTACCAGAATGAAGCAGCCTACAGAACTACAGGAAGAATGCAGGTCACTCCTAGGTTACGCAACACTGTCTTCTCCCCATCCTTTTTCCATTTCAGGTCTGCATTGTGGGGTAGGGAGAACTAGTCCAGTCTAGGCAACTGGGCACCCAGGGCGACCATCTTACACATCCATAAATCCCAGGAAGAATTTCAACTGCTGTGACTTGTGTGTGGACCTAACATCGTTCATCTGTCTCCAAACTTCCCAGTTCTCTGCTTCCACTCCCAACGCTCTTCCTGAAGTGGCTTCTTGGACGTAGAGAGGACATTCCCTTAGACCTGCAGAAGGTGGAGCCAGGAAATGGTGAGTTGTGGAGAAAACTGGTTCTTACCAAATTTGGGTGAGGGTGGATATTAATTGTTGGGGGACCAGCTGTGTGCTCCAGCACTTTGGTTCCTCGATGAAAAGAAACAGTGGCAGAGGAGGCCAACGGACTGAGACTTAGGAGCATCCTCAGGCCCTGCTTCACCTTCACTGGGCCCTTCCTCTACGTTTGTTGCCTTTCAAGATTTGGATGCCTGTGGCCACCTTCCTTATGTGACTCTCAGAGTTGGGATCATGGGGTGTCACCATTCCCAGCCTGGGCCTTGGTGCTCTGTGTTGAATGACAGAGT